TTTTTTTTAAAAAATATATTTTATTGATTTTGTACAGAGAGGAAGGGAGAGAGATAGAGAGCTAGAAACATCGATGAGAGAGAGTCATCAATCAGCTGCCTCTTGCACACCCCACACTGGGGATATGCCCGCAACCAAGGTACATGCCCTTGACCGGAATCGAACCCGGGACCCTTCAGTCCCCAAGCCGACGCTCTATCCATTGAGCCAAACCGGTCCCGGCTAAGCTAAGTAGATTATTATTATTATTATTATTATTATTAAATTCTCACCCGTAGGATATGTTTTCATTGATTTTAAGAGAGACACAAAGAGAGAGAGAGAGAAAGAGAGAGATATCAGTGTGAGAGAGAAACATTGATTGGTTGCCTCATATATGCCCCCCAACTAGCAATAGAAGCTGCAACCTAAGTACGTGCTCTGACCAGGAATCGAACCCTTTAAAAAAAAAAAAAATATATATATATATATATATCTTATTGATTTTTTACAGAGAGGAAGGGAGAGGGATAGAAAGCTAGAAACATAGATGAGAGAGAAACATCGATCAGCTGCCTCCTGCACACACTCTATCAGGATGTGCCCGCAACCAACGTACATGCCCTTGACCGGAATGGAACCTGGGACCTTTCAGTCCACAGGCCAACGCTCTATCCACTGAGCCAAACCGGTTTTGGCCCCACTACCTTTTATTTTTTATTTTTTAAAAATATATTTTATTGATTTTGTACAGAGAGGAAGGGAGAGAGATAGTTAGAAATATCGATGAGAGAGAGAGTCATCGATCAGCTGCCTCTTGCACACACCCTACTGAGGATGTGCCTGCAACCAAGGTACATGCCCTTGTCCGGAATCAAACCCAGGACCTTTCAGTCCGGAGGTCGACGTTCTATCCACTGAGCCAAACCGGTTTCGGCCCCACTACCTTTTGATGCACAGGACGACACTCCAACCAGATGAGCCTCTCAGCCAAGGCAAGCTGTGTGGATTATTTTGACAAAAATACATTTTCAAAGGCTTTCTGACAAAACAGCTTCAGCAACTCGAGATAGTGGAAGGTGGTTCTGGGTGTCAGAGTAGAAGAGGGAACTTTCTGTTCTTTCTATGGCCTCTTGGGCTTGACGGAAATACATGATTAACTTTCACCATCATTATCAACATCATCAAAGACTTGGTGGAATTGGGAGGCAGGGGAGGCCCATAGTGGGCAGAGGATGTCACTTCCTTTTGAATGAGTGGCTCTTGTGCTTGGGGGTTGGGGCTGGGTCTGCCAGGGGAGCGGACCCCTTTGCTAACTTTTCACAAATAAAACATGAGCCCACGATGCCCTCATCTGTATATTATTTTGTGCCACTTCTGTGTGATACCTTTTCCAAAAATTGAACCTATAATAAATATATGCCTCCCAAAAGACTTTATTTTTTTTTAATATATTTTTATTGATTTTTTACAGAGAGAAAGAGAGAGGGATAGAGAGTTAGAAACATCGATGAGCATCATCGATCAGTTGCCTCTTGCACACCCCCTACTGGGGATGTGCCCGCAACCAAAGTACATGCCCTTGACCAGAATCGAACCCGGGACCCTTCAGTCCGCAAGCCGATGCTCTATCCACTGAGCCAAACCGGTTTCGGCTCCCAAAAGACTTCAAACAGGAAAGAATTCAGAGGGGAGGCAGGGAACTTCCAGGATGGGGGACTAGTAGGGAAAGGTTTAGGAAGAAACCCACCCCAGGACCCTCCCCTGGGGGGGTCTGGCCCTTGGATTTAAACCTCTGCTCTGTGCCTCACTAGCTGAGTATTCATAGTCAGAACCCATTGCCTCAAATTAAAAAAAAAACAGGGATAGTTCCTACCTCCTGGGGACTCGGGGAGGATAACATTCAATCATGAAGATAAACACACATCACCGTGCCTGCCTGAGTGGTCTTCCTAACTTTGAACCCCGGGGCAGTCGGTAGGTGTGCTGAACAAAAGGCTCCTTATGGGGACCTGCACTTCTCCGGACACTCTACGTGGCACAGGGTGTTTCCATTCTTCTTCCTAGTTCTTGAGTTCCAATAACAGGATCAGATAGCAGCAGTTCCTGTATTGTGTAAGTCACTTAAGAAGATCTCTGGCTTCCCTGGAGTGCAGGTAACGAGCACCTTGGCCTGTGGCCAAGATCCTTCTCTGCAAGGGGAGGCTGGGCTGTCCAGGCAGCTGCGCTTCAGCCAGCGCATCGAGCCCTGCACTCCGCGGGGACTGGAGAGGCCAGCCCCCTGGGGTCAGAAAGCGCCAGGAGCGCCCGGTCAGCATGGCTCGGTGGTTGAGTGACAACCTATGAACCAGGAGGTCACAGTTTGATTCCTGGTCAGGTAGCTGATCAATGATTCTCTCTCATCATTGATACTTCTCTCTCTCTCCCTCTCCCTTCCTCTTTGAAATTATATATATATATATATTTATTATAAAATATTTTATAATATTTATATAAAATTATTATTTTTAATTTTTTACAGAGAGGAAGGGAGAGGGGAATTATATATTTTTAAAGAATGTGCCAGGGTCTTAGCAATGAAGTCCTAGGTTTGAGTCACTGTTTCCTGCTGTCTCTTCAAGCCTTGGGTCCTTTACCTAAAAAAACTGAGATGAGAATGCCCGCCTCAGGGGCTGCTGAGTTCAATCATAGTCAGATATAAAGCATCTCACATTTGAGATGATGTGTGTCAAGCACACCAGTTATGAGTTCCCTTCCTCTCCTGCCTCCTGTGCTGAGGGGAAGCAGAAAAGGAGAGGCAATAACAAGTGCAGAGCAGATGGGTGGTGACTCTCCATGTCTTAAAGGCTTTCAGGAGTGGGCATTGGATCCAGGAGGCAGTTCTGGAGTTAGCAGATGGCAGCTGTTGGGCATCCTCCTGCCACTCCTACAGCCTGCCACAGAGATGGCATCTGCTCATGAGCTAGACCAAGCATGTCAAACTCAAAGGCTACCATGGGCCAAATAAAGGAGGTATGCAGCCCCTGGGCCGCGAGTTTGACATGCTTGGTCTGGACCCTGGCTTCGCTCAGTGGGGACATAGACAGGGAGGGTGTTATCAGGGAGCAAATAACTGTGAAGCTAAGGAGGAAACTTCCAGGCCTCTGCCTTCCAAAGCACCTCGTCCTTGATCACTGCAGGAGAACCATGTACAAAGAGGAGAAAACTCAGGAATTTTGGGGTGTGGGAGGCTCAGCATTCCTTTCTGCACCACAAGCATGGCATTTTAAAGATTCGCCAAAGGGTTCAGGGTGGTTGGGGCCAGAGGTGGGCCTGGGAGGTGTTGGGATTCTAAGCAGAGGTGACCTCAGGTGTCTCATCTGAGTGATCTCCATGGTTCCTCCTCGCCAGCTCACCACAGCAAGAATAGTCTGGGCACCTTACCAAGCCAAGCCCTGTCCTCTGATGCATTTGTACCAGCATTCCTCTCAGCAACTGTAAGAGGTTAAATGTGATCCCCAATTCACGAAGGACACTGAGCCTTGGAGAATTCAAGTCGTTTGCCCCAGGTCTCACAGCTCCTAGGTGGCATGGGAGGAGCTCAAAGCCAGTCCTCTCTCCCGCACTTAGCAGAGGAGACAGCCAGTTCACTCGTTTGGAAAAATGTATCCAGCACCCAGTCAGAGCCCAGCTGCAGCCAGGGCAGGGCTGTCGCCCCTGGTGGGGCTCCTGCTTTCTCAGGACAGGAGGCTCCTCCAGGCATCCCCCAGGGCTTTGTGATAGAGGTGGGCAGCTGTCCCAGCAGCCCCCGGCAGTGGTGGGTAACCTCAGCAGGGAGATGGCAAGCAGCCACCAGGGGCCTGACTCCACGCTCACCTCCCAGCTTCTCTAGCTCCACCCTCGCTCTCCCTGAACTGGTTTCTTCTGCAAACTCACAGGTTCCAGAAGGACACCCTCCCTCTGGAGTCCAAGCATCCTGTAGCACTTCACTCCCCATGGGGGATGTCAACAGTTGGTGTTCTTTGTCTTTTATTTGTTTGTTTACTTTTAATAACAAAAGCTGTATCTGCATGTTAAAAATTTTCAAACAGCCCTAACCGATTTGGCTCAGTGGATAGAGCATCGGCCTGCAGACTGAAGGGTCCCAGATTCGATTCCGGACAAGGGCATGTACCTTGGTTGTGGGCACATCCTCAGTAGGAGGTGTGTAAGAGGCAATTGATTAATGTTTCTCTTTCATCGATGTTTCTAATTCTCTATTCTTCTCTCTTCCTCTCTGTAAAAAAAAAAAAATCAATAAAATATATTAAAATTTTTTTTTAAACAATGCAGAAGCTCAATGTGTAGAAAATGCTAGCTATCCATTATGAGGGTTTAGTACTTCCCCCCCCTACCTCCATGCTCATACCAATACTCAGGATCAGTGTTGTCCCCTTTTTACAGATGGGTAAACCGAGTCATGGAAAGTTTAAGTGTTTGGTCCAAGATCACAGGCTAGGAAATAGCTGAACCAGGATTCAACCTGGTTCAATCACCCACCAAGCTGTTCAGCTAAACATCCTAAATATAGCTCCCTAAAAGGAATTCTTAACCAAAAGGCAAAAGTTTTTTTTTATTTGTTTTGTCTTGTTTTTAAATATTTCCTTCAATCCTGCAGGTGTTGCTCAGTGGTTGAGCCGTGGCTTCTGAACCAGGAGGTCAGAATTAGATTCCCCAATAGGGGGCATACAGGAGGCAGCCAATCCATGATTCTCTCCATGATGTTTCTATGGCTCTCTCCTCCCTTCCTCTTTGAAATCAATAAAATGTATATTAACATATTTCCTTCATCAGATAGGGAGGGAGGGAGAGAAGAGGATTTCTCATAATAGTCTGCCACTGGCCTTGTGCTCTTCACAGACTAGATCGTGGCTTCGGTCTTACCTTCACGTTCCCCGGGCTGCTGCTCCCTGCAATCGCAGAGCAGAAGCTGGGATGTGCACATGGGCACTGTTCCCTCACTGCCTCCCTTCCCTCCCGCAGGCCCCTCGCAGGCAGGCAGCATGTGGCTGCCACGCATCTCCAGCACCACGGTGACGGCGCTCCTGCTGGCGCAGACCGGCCTCCTGCTCTTCCTGGTCTCCCGGCCTAGGCCGACCTCCCCGGCGGCGGGCGGCCAGGAGGAGCGGGTGCACGTGCTGGTGCTGTCCTCCTGGCGCTCCGGCTCGTCCTTCGTGGGCCAGCTCTTCAGCCAGCACCCCGACGTCTTCTACCTGATGGAGCCCGCGTGGCACGTGTGGTCCACGCTGCCGCAGGGCAGCGCGCCGGCGCTGCACATGGCCGTGCGGGACCTGGTGCGCTCCGTCTTCCTGTGCGACATGGACGTGTTCGACGCCTACCTGCCGCTGCGCCGCAACCTGTCGGACCTGTTCCAGTGGGCGGTGAGCCGCGCGCTGTGCTCGCCGCCCGCCTGCAGCGCCTTCCCGCGCGGCGCCATCAGCAGCGAGGCCGTGTGCAAGCCGCTGTGCGCGCGGCGGCCCTTCGGCCTGGCGCGCGAGGCCTGCCGCTCCTACAGCCACGTGGTGCTCAAGGAGGTGCGCTTCTTCAACCTGCAGGTGCTCTACCCGCTGCTCTCCGACCCGGCGCTCAACCTGCGCGTCGTGCACCTGGTGCGGGACCCGCGCGCCGTGCTGCGCTCGCGGGAGCGGACGGCCAAGGCGCTGGCGCGCGACAACGGCATCGTGCTGGGCACCAACGGCACGTGGGTGCTGGCCGACCCGGGGCTGCGCGTGGTGCGCGAGGTGTGCCGCAGCCACGTGCGCATCGCCGAGGCCGCCGCCCGCAAGCCGCCGCCCTTCCTGCGCGGCCGCTACCGCCTGGTGCGCTTCGAGGACCTGGTGCGCGCGCCGCTGCCCGAGATCCGCGCGCTCTACGCCTTCGCCGGCCTGAGCCTCACGCCGCAGCTGGAGGCCTGGGTGCACAACATCACGCACGGGCCCGGGCCCGGCGGGCGCCGCGAGGCCTTCCTGACCACGTCCCGGGACGCGCTCAATGTGTCCCAGGCCTGGCGCCACGCGCTGCCCTTCGCCAAGATCCGCCGCGTGCAGGAGCTGTGCGCAGGCGCGCTGCAGCTGCTCGGCTACCGGCCCGTGTTCTCCGAGCAGGAGCAGCGCGACCTGGCCCTGGACCTTGTGCTGCCGCGCGGCGGCGCCAGCAGCAGCTTCAGCTGGGCGTCGTCCTCCGACGCGCACCCTGGGCCTTAGCGGACGGAAGGCCCGGTGGTGGCGGGGTCGCCGGGGCCAGGCGGAGACTTTGGTGGAGAGCGGGTGGGGGTGCACAGTGCACAGGCCGCTGCTGGCGGGGCCGGGAGTTTGGGAATCCTCCTTTGTATTAGGAAAGGACTGCCCCCCTCCCTCACTGTTTGTTGCCACTTTTTGATTTTCCTTGGAAGTCCTTTGATTGCAGCTGGGTTACCATCAGGCACATTCTTCATAGAAAGCAAAGCTCGTGCCCAGCCAGTGTGGCTCAGTGGATTGAGTGTTGTCCCATGCACCAGGAGGTCACAGTTGGATTCAGGTTGCAGACTCGATCCCCAGTGGGAGGCATGCAGGAGGCAGCTGGTGATGTTTCTAGCTCTCCCTCTTCCTTTTCTCTCTCTCTAAAAAATAAATAAATAAATAAATAAATAAATAAATAAATAAATAAATAAATAAAAATTTAGAATTAAAAATAAATAAATAAAAATATTTTTAAAAAGGAAAACAAAGCTTGTGCCCCTACTTCCTCGGGGCACTGGGAATAGCTCAGACAACTTGGCTCCTACTGAGGGGCTTTCTTTCCCCGTATTTCTCTCCTGCCTTGGGAGAGAAGGCTGGCAAGCCCGGCGGAGGGTGTGGTGGAGCAAGAGGTTGTTGGCAGCAGGATCAGTGCCTGGAGGGCAGTCACAGGGTGAATGTAACTGGATCCGACTTGCTATGAGCTTGGGTAGCGAGCTGGGAGGGAAGGCTTTGTCTTCCCTTGGTCCTTTCAGGCTGGGCAGAGTGAGATCCCTCATTGCAAGCCACAGCACCTAGCTCTGGAGCAAAGCTTTGTTAAAAGCATGCTGGATGCGTAGAGGGCTTAGAACTGAGCTCAGAAAATGACTGAACGTGGGGGAGGGGGAGCTCACAAACCCTCCAGAAAGGTCAAGGCAGCAGATTGGAGGCCACACAAATAGGATACAGCAGATTCCTCGGGAGCACAGAGTTGGTCTGGAAGCTGACAGTTGCCACCAGAACTACTATGCCTATCACCTCTGGAAATGAGGGAGTGTTGTGCCCAAGTGTCATAAACCCCAAAGACTACCAGGGAGCCGAATCCGATGCAATTGCAGAAAGCCTGTATTTATTTCGGACTAGTCCGAGCCCAGTCTCACCCACACCAACGAGGGCATGGGCGAGAAAGAGGAAGAACTTAACATATCAATGGATTTTATAGGGAGGGTGGTGCTGCTACCTTGGCTGACCTGATTGGTTGGATTAGGCCGAGGGTCCAGTTACCTGGAGCTGGACCCGCCCCACCATGCCCTCTCGCCGCGCCTGCCCCCTCACCCCGCCCTGCCCTCTTAGGAGCAACCCTTGCTGTGGCTGACAGGCACAAGAAGGGGTTCCAGAGGTTGCTGGCCTCTGAGTCTCAGCCTGGCTGTGGTCTCAGATTGGTGAGACCTCAGTTGTGGGCCCACATCTATCCCGCAAGTAGGCAAGGCAAAGGGGATGTGGCGTTTGCTGCTGCTTTTTGTGCAGGAAGCAGTGGTATGTTGTCCTTGAAGCTGAGGCATCGGGACTCCTCATCGGAAGATTCTGTCAAGCGATAGGGCTTCATGCTCCATAAAACCCAGACCTGCCCCTGCTCACAAAATTATGGAGAAGGTATTTAAAAACAAACAAACCAGATTTATTAACCTGGCGGGTGTGGCTCAGTTGGTAAGGTATCATCCCATGCACCTAAAGATTGCTGGTTCGATTCCAGGTCAGGGCACATGCCCAGGTTGTGGGCTCCATTCCTGGGAGGGGGTGTGCAGGAGGAAAACTGATCCCTCTATTTCCCCCTCCCTCACTCCCTCCTTTCCTTCTCTCTCTCTCCTTCCACTCTCTCTAAAAATCAACGGGAAAAATCTTTTTTTTTTTTTTTTTTTTTTTTTATCTGAGCTTCTTAACTACTTTGTCTATAGCTTGAAATCAATTACATTATTCTTCCTGAGGACACTCTTCTTTCGGTTCCAATCTGGTCAGGTGACTAGTGCACAGAAGTAGTTTAACCCTCCTGGTTAAATCTACCATTTCTTGTATTGCACATCTTTCTCTTTCTTGGTTATCACTCTAACTTTCCTGGAGTATATACTCAGCTCCCTTAGGGCCCATGAAACATATTTTCTGAGTCCTGAAAGTCTAAATGTTTTTTGTTTTTTTTTAACTTCTCAATCCACAATTTGACTGTGGATAAAAATTTAAGTTCAAAAGTTCAAGATAACATTTCTGCCCTGACCAGTGTGGCTTAGTTGGTTGGGCATCGTCCTGTGCATGGGAAGTCAGGTCACATGCCTGGATTGTAGCAGTCGATCCATGTCTGGCCCTCACATGGATGTTTCTCTCTCCCCTCCCCCTTTCTCTGTCTCTCAAATAAATTTAACAATATTTTTAAAAGAAGGATAACATTTCCTAATGTAGTACAGATTGACTGTTATATTGCCTTCAAGTACCCTGTTTCCCAAAAATAAGACAGTGTCTTATATTAATTTTTTCTCCCAAAGTTGCGCTAGGTCTTATTTTCAGGGGATGTCTTATCTTTCCATGTGCTAGGTCTTATTTTCGGAGGATATCTTATTTTCGGAGAAACACGGGTAATTGGTTTCTTTTTAAAAATATTTTTATTGATTTGAGAGAGGAAGGAAGAGGAAGAGAGAGAGAGAAACATCCATGATAAAGAGAGTCATGGATTGGCCGCCTCCTGCACGCCCCACGCTGGGGATCAAGCCCGCAACCCGGGCATGTGCCCTTACCGGGAATTGAACCTGTGACCTCCTGGTTACTAAGTCGATGCTCAGCCACTGGGCAGTAATTGGTTTCTTCCACTTATATATTCTGCTAGTCTGGCAAATGTACCAAAAGACAGCATTCTTAAATATTTCATGACTTTTTTATACTTACTATTTTTGTTTTAGAAAAGTTTTTTTTAAAATATACTTTTATTGATTTCAGATGGGAAGGGAAAGAGAGATAGAAACATCAATGATGAGAGGGAATCATTGTCTGGCTACTGGGGATCAAGCTGGCAACCAGAGCATGTGCCCTTGACTTGAATCGAACCTGGGATCCTTCAGTCCACTGAGCCAAACCAGTTAGGGCTAGAAAAGTTTCTTGATTTAAGGCCAAATCCCAGTTGTAGTGTTGGAAAAATGGTATTAAAACAGCTTCCAAAACAAATGCTTTCAAGAGGGAGCTCTAATAAACAATCTTGCTAATAATCTTGAATTAGAAGGAAAATATTATGTATTTTCTACACAAGGCTTTTAAAATTTAAAGTAAATTAAGTTTTCAAAATAAAATAATTCCCCCTCAAAATATTAAAGTTATTGCTGCATTGTCTTCCAGCTTCCTTCACTTTGTTGCTGAACCATCTTATCCTTATTGCCAGATCCTTTTTTGTTGTTTTTTATTATTTTTTTATTTTTATTGTCTAAAGCTTTACATATATCTCCTTTTTCTCCAATTAACCAACCTTCTCCACCCCCCTCATTCATTTTAAATCTATCATACCTCCTGGTCAGCTGGGACGTATACAATTCCCCTACTTCCTTCTAGGTGGCGCTGCAGAGAAGGGCAAAGCGGAGCGCGCCCAGCTGGAGCAAGGATAGACTTTCCAGTAGGGGGCGTCTTTGCGTGGGTGCGGTGTCTTGGTGAGCCTTACGCAACGTGGGGGGCGGGGACAACTCTCGTCCCGCCCCCCGCCCTCGGCGGCGCGCTCTGATTGGAGGGAGCGACCATCACTCGACGGCGCCTTTGGAGTAGGAGGAAGAGGGTCCCGGCCGAAGGTGACGCCGAGGCGGCGGCGGCGGCGGCGGCGGGCGGAACGGAGAGCAGAGCCGACTGTCAGAGCGAGCGAGCGAGCGAGCGAGCCACCGCGGCGGCGACCCTGCGGACGCTCTGCCCCGTCCCTCTGCGGTGAATGGCGGCGGGATGGAGCCCGAGGGGAGCGGCGGCAGCAGCGAGGGCTCGGCCGGGCTCCTGCAGCAGATCCTCAGCCTGAGGCTCGTCCCGCGGGTGGGCAACGGGACGCTGTGCCCCAACGCCACCTCCCTCTGCTCCTTCCCAGGTACCTGCGTGCCGTGCCTTTCCCCTCCGCGTGCACACGGGGTCCCCCCGCCCCGAGATCCGGGGGCTGTTGTCCTTCTCCAGGGGGGAGGGTCCCGCTCCCTCGGCCCAGAGCCGGGGGCTCCTGCCGGGCGGACCCCCTCAGGCCGCCCCCTCCCGCCGCCGCCGCCCCCGCGCTGGGGGCCAGGTCGGAGGGCGCGGCCGCGGCCGCGGGGGTCCGGGTCGGTGAAGGAAGGGAGCTGGGCCAGCACCCCCACCAGGATCGCTTTTTGGGAGTTTCCCTTCGCCCTCGTTCAGACTTGAACTCGACAAGAGCCCTGGAGGCGGTCATCCCCTCCAGGGTGCGCCTGGCCGCGTCCGCCCGCCCCCTCGCCCCAGAGGGCCGGGCGGAGGGGCGGTCAGGGCTCTCCCTGCCTTGGTTTCAGGGCCAGGCTGCCCCCTTCGCCGGGAGGGTGCCCGCCGAGGGCTCGCACCCCCGTCCCGCCCCGCCAGCTCCTCTTTCTAGGAATCCCTTCCGGAGACCTGTTGCCAGGGCTCCCGCTCGCTCACGTGTTGGGCACCTTTGGCTCAGCTTCTTAATTCTGCTCACCCCTCCCTCCACCCCGCACCCCGGGCCTTCTCCCGACAGGAGGGTTTTTCTTATTTATAATACAAGATACAAGGTAGCTATCCGTGCTGAAACCGGTTTGGCCCCGTGGATCGAGCGTCGGCCTGCGGACTGAAGGGTCCCAGGTTCGAGTCCAGTCAAGGGCAGCATGTACCTTGGTTGCAGGCACATCCCCGGTAAGGGGTATGCAGAAGGCAGCTGATGGACGTTTCTCTCTCATCGATGTTTCTCACTCTCTGTCTCTCTCTCTCCCTTCCTCTCTGTAAAAAAAAAAATCAATAAAATATATTTTTTAAAAATCAATAAA